GCGACCGCTTCCCCATATCTTGCGAGACATTCCCTTAATGATTCGTTCGGCTTTTGGTATATCGCCGTCAGATTCTGCTTCAGGGGGACGTACTTTTTAACCCCTATGAATTGGAGAGAGAATGCTTCCTTCAACTCATCCCAGCTCGAGATAGAGTTTGGCCTCAGCGTCCGGAACCATCTTCGGGCAGAGTCCGTCAAATGGTTCCGAAAGGCTCGGCACATGATCTCCTCAGCGTACCCGTGCAAGAGCATGTGCCCTGTGTACATCTCCAAATGGTCATCGGGATCCCCTCGACCATCATATGGTGGGATCGACGGCGACCTATATTTATTGGGGATAGGGGGCGCCATTATCTCTTCGGTAAATGGATGGTCATGTGTGCGGCAGGGCGTGATGTCGACGTTCACTACCTCAGCCACTCGCCCCATGTTCTTTTTTAGACCCGCCACGTCCCCCGTCAGTTTTTGCTCCAGGCTGGCCATACGTTCCATGATGGCGCGTGCTTCTTCTGTTAAAATGGCCGAGCTAGCTACTCTCGACGCCTCTGCCCTCTGAGCGTTGGGTCCACCCCTGGCCTGGCCGCCCACCTGTACTGATCCCGAGTCTCCTAGCGGGTTTCCCCCTGGATTCTGGGGTAACACCTCGGGATTTCCCGGACCCCTTGGTGCCTGGTCCTCGGGAGCTCGGAGTCCGGCGGCCCTTAAACGGCTGCCAGAGGATTGGGAAGGCCGAGGCCTAGGAGGGCCCCGGTGATTCTCGTTGTCCCCAGTTCCCTCTTGGATATGTGGGTGGTCACCGGGGTTCGGGTTTCCAGCCATGGCAGGTCCCTGCGGCCTCGGGGGGTCTTCTAATGACGGCATAGAGTTCCTCCCGTCTAAGTGCTCAACCACGGTCATCAGCCCACGTACCAGCTCAGTTAGAGTGGTCAGTTGGGCCTGCATCTGCACAGGATCCAGCCGTGGCGCGTCTGGGGGTGGGACTTCGTCTCCAACCGGGCGTAGATCTCCTTCCATCCCGCTATTCCCTGGAGGGATGGCGATTCTGTCCGTCTCTCTTAGAGGCGCGCTTGCTAACTATGTTGTTGGGGGTCGAACGCTTTCAGTCCCTAGTGGAGTCGCCAATTGTTGACGGTGATTTCTCGTCAACAAAAAACCGGCCGTGTTACCCCTTGGTTTCCCTTAGGATTACCGGCCTATGGTTGAATGTGTGTGAAAGTTTATTATTTTTGGACGTGCATAAGTAAAGAAGACAAGAAGTTTTATAATGGTTCACTCTGTAAAATTAGAGCTACATCCACTGTGGTTGTGAATTTCTTTTTGAGGGGATTACAATTTACATCAATTGCTATCTCTCACTCTCTTGTCTGCTTGGATCTCAACCCCCTCCTCGTAAGGGGTCTCCCTTCTTTTATACTGGGCTTTTTTCGCTGGGTGGGTTTCCCTCCTAGGCAGAAGCACTCAAGTGCTTTCCCTTTTTAGGCCCAGACGTAGCCCATCAATCAACACTGTTCACTCAGCCAATTAGTCTTCTATTACGGCTCTGTGTGCCCCTGTAACACTCTCCTGTCCCCTGTGGGGCGGTTTAAGAGCTTGCCATTAATGCCTGCTGACGTCCCCCACTTTTGTACGCAACTTGCCACATTCTCTAGAGAACGTTACCCTCGTCGTCAGCGACACTTAGCCCAAACGTCCTTCTTGGTGATTAATTCTGCGGTCGAGAGATCTTTATACCTCAAGCTCGGCAGCACGATCTGTCGACGTCAAGAAGAGTCGTCGCCCTACGTTGGACTTCGCACTTGGGCTCTTTAGAGCTGTAGACGTCGAGGGTTGTTGCTTGGTGGGGAGTAGTTAGGGCCACGTGTCGCTTTATCGTTTGTCCAGATGTCCGTCACATTTTCTCACATAACATTATATATATCACGAGCTAACGTTTTCTTGACGTTTGGAAGTTAGAATCTTCTGTGTTAACATTGAAGAGTCTAGAATTATTGTAATTTAAACAGGAAAAATGCGATCACAAACAGCTTAAATTATTAAAAAAAAATAAAAAGGAAAATCGGTCTAATTAAGGTGCACTCAAACATTACAAGTGGTGGGATGATTTTTCGTTCCCCATAAATATTACTTTTTCCAGAAGCTTTTGTAAAAAGAAACAAACGCGACCTTATCTTGCACTTTTTCTCCATGTCCAATCTGTATGGCATGGCATCAATCGCTTTTGTTTTATCTCTTGTTTTTATTTACTTGTTTTTTTCTTCACTTTGTCTATCACGCTCCAACAATTTCATCATGTTTTTATGCTTGCCGTTCAACGTGTTCTCACACATTCTATTAGTGTAAGCTTTTTTTTTTTTTTTTTTTTTTTTAATTTCAACTTGAATTGATAACAGCAATAAATATATATATATATATATATATTTATCCAATTGTGATTTGTAATGGAAGAAGAAAATGACCCACTTTTTAATTTTGCGAAACGGCTAGAAATCCTTCTTATTAGATAGCTAATAGTTGCTTAATTTGCACCCATAATGGACCACACCACAGGACAAATGGGACAAAAAAAAATTTTTTTTTTCAAAAAAAAGGGGGACAAATTATGTTTTGGGAAAGGCAAAACCAAGCTTCTTTCCATCTTGAAGTGAACTTGTATAAAACTTTTGTGATTTTCTGGCCACTGATAGGGGCGAAAAAAACAAACAGTTAATTAAGCATAAAAGAACAGAAAAAATCTAGGCTTTTCTCATCATCAATTCATCATTATTTTTCATTGGGTGTCCACATCCATATGCATATAGCACTGTTATGTCTTTCTCAAGTTTTTGAATTTAAGTAGGTTACATTGTTTATAGATTTTGACATTCTAACTAAATTTAATTTGTCAATACATGCCATATTCCTGCCAATCCTATTGTTGAGGACGAAAGCAAGCGCTTATTTTCGATTTGAAAGTTCTATTGTGTTTATAATACGCTTCTATCAATCTTTAGACAGATTTCCTAATTATATTTTTTGTTGTAGAGTTTTTGACTTTCGTGCTTACTATAAATACAAGCTTCATAGTTCATTTGTTAAAATTCATTTTCTTTTCTTTTCTTTTCTGGTTTTTTTTTTTTTTTTTGGAGAAATATTTGGCATAGACAACAAAACAAGAGGGTCATAAGAGGAACTTGTCCCGGTTAGCCCCAAAAGAAATAAAATAAAATAAAAAACTGGCAGTGTTGGCACAACTGATTGTCCAATCAAGCTGATTAGGTACAAAAACAAAGAGGATCGAATATAATGACTTTGATTTTTCCAAAAAAACAACAAAATAAAATAAAGGTTTTTCATGTTGGAATAGAATAATAAAGATTAACCACTAAGGACGTTAATGAGAAGAAACCAAATCTGGACACGCAAAACCGCAACCAATGACCCACTGAAATAGATTAATGCCCAAAGTAAAGTGGCTGGGCCATTTCAAAAAAAAAAAAAAAAAAAAAAAAAAAAAAAAAAAAAAGAAGAGCCCAAAAAAAAAAAAGTTAAAAAAAAAAAAAAAAAAAAAAAAAAAAAAGCAAAGTGACTGACCAAAGAAATTAAGGTTTTTTGTCAATAATCGCCATTAAAGAAAACCATTCTTTTGTTGACAATGACTTCCATCTTTGTCGTATTAGGACATGCTTTCAAAAGCAAATGAAACACAAACAGCTAATTTGCAGGGGAAACTTCATAATAAGACACGGGAAAGCCATGACAACCTGAACAAGAAAGGTTGAATAAAATAAAACCCAAAAAATAAAAATAAAAATAAGAAATTTCACATTAAAGTGAATATCTCGGTGAGAGGAAATGCAAACTAAGCATATATTCTAAGCAAAGGCCTACAAAGTCAATTAAAGACACGGTTCCATGTCTTTGTCCAAGCTTAGCTGTTCTTACTGCTTACTGGCCATTAAACACCCGAAAAGCAATCCCAACGAAAATTTCACGATTCTGAGTGGCAATCCAAGTTCTATTATTATATATATATTTTTTTAGAAAAATTTAAATTTAATTTTTTAATATAATATATTTTTTATATATACAATTTAAGTTCTGAATTTAAATTGTAAAATAAACATATACTTAAGTTTTAGAGAGTTTCTCTTATAGAACAAAAAAAAATTACAGATAGTCATTTATTTTTTAACTTTTAAATCTATTTATTCTGCATATTTTTTAAATTTAATATCATTTAACTAGATTTAATAATTAAAAATTGATATTAGTGGTAGAGAGACCTACGAAAAAACTCTTTTTTTTTTTATTTTGTTGGATTTTTTTTTTAATCATTGAGAGTACCTCCAAAACTCAACGACTAAACAAGCAATCACGAGATGACAACAATTTAATCAGATTTGATGTAGAAGAATGGAGAAATCCAATGATTTTAGCTCGTGTCCAATAATGGCTTTCAACAAGAAATTTTGGTAACCCCCTGTTGGATTCTAACGAATGGATTTTGTTTTGGTCTTTGGAAATTGGCCACGCTAAGAAATATATTGGAGCATCTAGAACTAGACGGCCAAGAAAATCACAAACGTTTTTGTTTTCTTCTCCTTTTCCTCTTATTTTCTTTCTCAACTTTTGGTACTGCCTTTCTGAAGCAAACTTCAAAGTCCTTAACGGGAAGCAAAAGATAAAATACTGAGTGAGATTGAGGTGTGATTTTACAACCTATTTCTCCTTTTGCGAAACAAGGCAAATCATCAACTGCCCTAGCATGGATAATGAGGCTTTTATGGTTCTGGCTTATTCACTACTAGACCAGTAACTCAGTCAAGTCTCAACTCAAACAGAGAAAACACAAAAGACAAAAAGTCAGCTCACACTAAAAACATTCTGAAGATAATATTTCGGGAGTCACACTACCACTCTCTTTGACTATTTGCCAAGATGTTCATCGGTGGAATAAAAGAAAATTTAACAAAAAAAAAAACAAACAAACAAAGCATTGTAACAACCTGAGTGAAGAAATTAAGAAAAAAACCAAAAGATCTTTTATATATTAACTCTAGAACACAACGTATAACATACAAGTTCATAACAGAACGGAGATCAATTCCATTTCATGCCCTGAAATTAGTGCTTATATGTATCCATTTACTAAAAACTGATCCAAAAAAAAAAACCACCAAATTTTTTTTTTACCCCTTTTATCCAATCGTCATTCGTGGCCAGAAAGTTATCCAGGGTAAAAAAAAGTCCTTTCTTTCTATGTATGAATCTTGGTGGTTCTGCCAAATCCCATTCATGAAGTTCTGATCCTTTCAAGCTGTGCTGATGAAACCTTAGCCTTATCCCCAGATCAAGATCAGCTGAAACTCTCAAAACACCACCACAATTTGATTATATATATAAAAAAAAAAAAAAAGAGTAAGAAGAATTAATACTACACAATCTTACATCCATCTACACACCATCATAACTGTAAAACTAGGGGGGGGGACAAAAAAAACCCAAGTGAAATGTCAAAGCTGCTTTTTCTTCTTGTTCTTCTTCAACTCCTGAGACTATGTATGGCTGCCTGTAGGGTAAAGTTAAAGGTAATGGGTATTAACAGTTAGAATTGACGAAGTTCTTAATCTCCTCCATTAGAGTATAGAAGTGTTCATTATTTGGCAAGAAGTAGAACCCAATTGTGGCCTGCTTTAGATAAAGAAGCTTAACATCTTGATCTGAAATCTTTAGCCCTTCAACATAAGCCAATTGCCAATCTTGAACAAGGTCCAATCCAGCCACAACAACAAGACTCTTGGGAAACTTAACCCCTTCAAGGTTTTTACCTCTAGGGCCAAATATGTTACAAGCAGGGTGGTCTCTGTCATCCCCTTCTGGGAGATAAGCTCTCCAATACCAATCCCTGTCCTGAATTGTCACGAAATATTTGCCGTCCAATCTCTTCTCAGACTCCGTCCTCTTTTCGCCGCCAAACATCGGATGAAGAAGTATGTTCCCGAGGACTTGCACCTCATCCGACTCCGCGGCCCTGGCCGCGACATGGTGGGCAATGTTGCCACCGGAACTATCACCCGCCAAGTAAACGTGGACCTTAGAATCCTCCCCGCTCCGCAGCCAACTTCTTGTGGTGACCCACTTGAGGGCGGCCCAGCCGTCGTCGTAGGCGCAGGGGTACCGGTGCTCGGGCGATCGACGGTAATTCACGGAGACGACGACCGCCCCGCAAATGCAGGCGAGGCGGCGGCAGAAGGTGTCGTAGATGGCACTGTTGGCGGAGGAGTGGGTGAAGCTGCCGCCGTGGAAGAAGAGTATGACGGGGACGATCTTGACGGTGTGGAGGGGCTTTTCGAGGTCGACAATTCCCCATTGGGACTCGTTCTCCGGGGCCGGCTGGTAGACCCGGTTGAGCAGCCCCGTGGAGCGGTCGACGTGGTCGAATGAGAAGACGCCGTCGACGGGAATCGTGTTGGCGGGGACTTTCCGGTCGAGGAACTCGGCCAAGTCACGGTTGAAGGTTCCGTCGGAGCGGCGGAGGAGATTGTAAGCCAACTTGAAGTTGGAGATTAGTACCCACGTGTTGAGAGGAACTACTCTCTGTATCAAATAAGAAACAAATGGGAATTTAGGAACGGGTAAAGAAAGAACTAAAAACCGACATTTTTTTTTCTTTCTGGAAAAGGAAAATTGGATAGAAAGCGCCAGAAAAGATGAGCAGAGGACTTGTTCAAAAGGGAAAATTGCGGAAAAAAAAAGAGAGTTAGTAAAGAGAAAACTTTGGGTAAACGTCTTTTAGCTTGGTTAACAAGAAATTTGGATATTAACATGGAAGAGAGAAGGAAATCAAAAACCAATTTAGAAAATGTTTTTTAAAAAATGTCTACAGCTCTGGTCTAAAAAAAATGGGGGGACAGAGAAATCCAAGGGATGAACAGGAATGAATATCACATTAAAAAATATAAATAAAATAACTTTCCCATGTCGCTTACAATCAGAAAAACAAAACCCAAGACGATAAATAACATATCCGCTTGATCTGGATAAGAAGAGCAAGCGTTTTACCTTGGATTCACTGAGGTTGACTTCATTATCACCGGCCATGAGAGTCGCTTCAGAAGAAGGAAGATTCACAAAACCCCGAATTTAGAGAGAGAAACAGGGATAGAGAGAGAGACGCTATACGGCGTTCATTGCCCTGCTTAAGAGTTTAAACTCAGCTCAGCTCAGCTCAGTTCTCTCGTACGTGAGTGACGAGAGAGAATTATTAAAGAAGAGAAATGCGAAGGAAGAAGAAATTAGCGCAAAAGTAGGTCTGTCTTGTGGACTGAACTGGGGGAAGGCGTGTGGTGTTCTTCTCTCTTCCTTATTTATTTCTCTCTCTCTATATATATCTATCTATATCTATATCTATATCAATATCAATATCTATGTCTATGAAATTTGTACAAGTTGCTTTAGGCTATTGGATTGATTCCTAGTTTTGGGGTTACCGAACCAGGAAGAGACACTTCTTCTCTCTGGAACAAGGGGGAACAGAAGAGCAGCCCTCGCTCAGACACCACGCAGATAGAGAAATAGAGAGAGAAGGGGGAAAAAAAAAAAACAGAGACAGATCAAAGATAATAGAGAAAGAAAGTACACATATAAGATGAGAGAGAAATAAATTATCAAAAAAATAAAAAGATGAGAGAGAAATAGAGTAATGGGTTCCACCATAAAAGACGTATAGAGAGTTGAGAGAGAGAGTGAGAGTCAAAACGCAAGGGAAACGACGGAGGTGGACGGAGACGAGAGAGACGACAAAGCGGGCGGCCGGATTATACTGTTTATTGTGGGTCCCACCAATTTCCCCTCTCTCGCTTTCTTTTTTTTTCAATTTAATAATTGGATTGGCTTTATCTTTATTTCTCCTTTATTTTTATATTATTATTGTTGTTTAAGTACGACCACTCTGTTTTTTTTTCTTTTTTTTTTTTTTTTGAGAAAAAGAGAGAGTGTGTGTTGTGTTTTTCTGACCTGTGTGGATGGGATAAAAGGTGTTTTTGGGTTGATTGGCTACTGACACGCCGGTTTTGGCTTACTGCCAACTATTTCTCTTTAGTAATTTTTTTTATTGTTGTTTTTACTTTTTTTTATAGGTTAAGGGTTCGTTTAATTAATTTAAGTTGATATATGATTTTATGTTATAATAAAAAAAATGAGATGTGATTATATTTGAGAGTTTTTTACTGTATTCAAACTCAAATCTGTAAAATAAACAAAACCTAAGTTATTTACTTTGTCCACTTTAAAAGTCTTTTTTTTCATTACCAGTATATCAAATTTTACGTTTGTTGAATTAAAATCACATAAAAAATTAAAAAAATATATAGATTTATATAACGTTTGGTAAGGGGATTCGTACTCTGATTCGAATCATGGTTCATAGTTCGTTACAATGATTTCTCTCACAAAAAATACATGTAAATAATAGGTTAAGGGTTCGTTTAATTAATTTAAGTTGATATATGATTTTATGTTATAATAAAAAAAATGAGATGTGATTATATTTGAGAGTTTTTTACTGTATTCAAACTCAAATCTGTAAAATAAACAAAACCTAAGTTATTTACTTTGTCCACTTTAAAAGTCTTTTTTTTCATTACCAGTATATCAAATTTTACGTTTGTTGAATTAAAATCACATAAAAAATTAAAAAAATATATAGATTTATATAACGTTTGGTAAGGGGATTCGTACTCTGATTCGAATCATGGTTCATAGTTCGTTACAATGATTTCTCTCACAAAAAATACATGTAAATAAAAAATGATTCTAATCTCATGATTTTAATTTATGAACTAAACGTCTTGTGTACACAACGTACCAAAAAATGTTTTTTTTTGTTACTTTGTTTGTTCCTTCCTCTTAAAAATAATTTGTATTTTATACTTTCAAGTTTTCATTGTTAAGAGTAGAAGATGTTATATAATTTAACAAAATTTATTAAAATTATAAGTTGATATTATTTATAAGGAATAAGACTACATTTATACTATTGTCAAAAGTTTTGAGGTGATATTTATTAATTAATTTTCTGGATAATGTATTAATTGTCTTTAAGCTATAAAATAATAGGAACTTGTAACTTCAAGCGATCTAGATTCATAATTATACGTTTTAAATGTTCTATTATTTAAGTAAACCTTTTATAAAACCACTGGACACTACATGAAGAAGCTTTTAAAAATTGTTGAACTATGAAATTTGGTTTTTATTGAAAACTTCCTTGTTTTATTTTTAATTACTATAATCTACTTGCAATTTTAAATTCCTCTCAAATTGCAACACGCTATTGGCCAAGAAAAAAATGCCATCACTCTAAACAGCTCTGGAACTAGTCAAAATCGGGCAACAGTGGCAATAGCAGAAACAGATGCAATTTTCTTCCCTTGCGATAAAGGCCAAAGGAAAAAAAAAAAAAAAAAGAAGAGAGAGACGTAGACAAAATAATTTAAAAAAAACAACTCAGAGAAAATAATAAAATAAAATAAATAAAAAGAAGGAGACAAGAGTTTCCTGCGTGCGGCCGACGCCAAGGCACGTGACGACAAACGGTTCCGTCTCGACTCTTTTGCTCAACTTCCGCTATAAAATCCCCGAACTACCCTTACTCCCCCAGCAAAACACCGAAAGTACCATTGAGGACGACACGTGTTTTGTCAGCTAGCGAAAAGCGCGTGACGGCATGTTTTTTGTCAGAGCCTGGGGCGCTGGTCATAACAAATAAAAATAAAAAAAAATAAAACCTTTCATTTTTTGTTATAAATAATTGAAATTTTATAGAAATATATTAATTCAAAAATTAAAATTCCTAATGTGGGCATTAAATTTTGTCGTATTATCTGTTGCCCGTTTCTTCTTCATCTTCTCCCTCATCTCTCTCTCGTCTCGGCTACGGACACGTGGAAAACGGATATAGCTCACGTTTTCCCGCTGGGACCCGCACATATAATAAAGTCATATTCTTTAAACGAGCTGATACGATGATCAAAAACTCTTTGTGGGACCCTCTCTAAAAACCTCCCCCCCTTTCCCCAATCTCTATCCCCCCACGGTGATGGGGCTTCGGATGTCTGAGAGAGCGCCACGTGTGTGGTACTTTGCATCAGTGGGGTGGTGAGGGAGTGATTTAGATTTTTCTAGTGGGGCGGGCCCACACGCGTGGGTCCCGCCTCCGGTGCGTTGCCCCGCCGCTGATTTGTCTGATGGGAAAAGAGAGGTCCCATATTCGCGGTGGTGTTTCTTGGCTCGGACAAAACACACAAACAAGAAAACTAGAACTAGAAGTAGAAGGCTTTGTGCTTCTTCGGATAACTTTTGGATTTTTTGTACTTTCAAGTTTGAGTAATGGGAACCGTTGAATTTTATGTGTTCTTGGGAGATATGGAAAACAAAATTACGTTATTACGAGCCCTTTATTTCATATATTTAAAATTTAAAATTTAAAATTTAAAATTATTATTTGAGTATACCTTTTAAATGAGTCTTACATTTTAATAATTTGAGAACACAATGCAATAGTTCTGTTTAGAATTGATTCCGTTTTTATTTTTTATATTTTTCGAGAAAGATAAAATGAAAACATTTTCAAAACGGCGTTTGACTCAATAAAGAAAAAAATAAAAATGAAAATAATTTTTTAGTTTAGTGTAAAATGAGAGAGAAATATTTATTTTTTATTTTTATTTTTTCCTCTCTCGAGCAGAGAGAGAGACATTAATGATTTTTTATACTAAAAATAATCTCTTAATAAAACTACTAAACGCATTTTTAAAAATAATTTCTGTATGAGATTGAAAACATTTTAATTTTCATACAAAAAATAAAATCATTTTAAAACGAGTTCCAAATGCGCTCAATATAACATTATAGTTTAGAGAGGCAGTCACCCCATAGAATTTTTTTTTATTATTTGTAGTGTATATATATATATATATGTATATGCAATCTAATAAAATTTTATGAATTGTCTTTGATTCGGTATCAGATTAGAATGGCACATGTATATTTTTTTTAAAAAAATATGTATATTTATTTTTCAGCACATGTAAATTTTCTCTTAAAATATGTATAATGTGATGAGACACCCATAATTTATCTAAACACCTATATACATAATTTTTTTAAAAATATACATGTACCTACGAAAAAATATACATATTTTTTAAAAAATATACATGCGACTTTACCTAAAATTTTATAGTTTATTCTTTAAAATTTAAAAATCTGTGTTTGCCGCATCACATAATAATATAATTCATTTAATGACTTTAATATCCCTCAACTCCTTTCCCGATTATCGTTTTTCTATTTCCGTCCTTAATTATTGGTGATTATTGTCATACCTTTTCAATCAATTAAACCTTCACCAAATCGTTTGCATATTCACCAATTATGATGTAATGTCCAACAAAAACTTACGAGTCAATCTTTACAAGGTTACAAAAAATCAAGAGTTGCATTTTTTTTTTATTCCTACTAATTATAAGTGCAAATATTTTTTCAATGATAAAAAGAATAAATGTCTAAGTAATAAGACCAGCATATTTTAACTTATTAAGTTTGTATTTATTTTTAATTTAATGTGATTTTTTAAAAAATGTATCGTTTGCACTATTGTTACCCAATACTCCCTTTCTTCTAGGGATTAAGTGCTTAGATAAAGTGAATAACACTTTTGTAGTATTATTATTTATATGGTCATGCCAATTATGTTATTGTCTTACTCATTTGGCTGCCTCCTAAACTACGTTTTCAAAATATAACTTGTCATCTTGTTGTTATCTCTCATTGTCCAATATTTTAAAGGCGGGTTTCCATTTTCAACACAAAACACTCCCAAACAACAAAACGTTTGTAAAAATGGGGTGCCGTATCATTCTCTATATGCCAAAACAAAAACAAGCACACTTTTTTTCCTTTCTTTTTTTTGTTAGAACATGAACCTAGGGCCGGCAATATGGGTCACGACACGACGACACAACTCGAAAACGACACGAATTTTACGGGTTAGGGTTGAGAAAAAAGAGGTTCGGGTCAGAATTGGGTCGACCTGAAATTGACACGAAAAATACGGGTCATTTTCGGGTTGGACCCGCCTAACCCGAACACGACAGGAAACTCGTAAAAAACTGAAAAATACATATATTATTTATTTCGTATTTTAAATTTTATTATGAACTTATGATATCATGATAGTTATACTCAAAATCTTATACTATTATTTACTTAATTTCAATGGATGTTATTGTAATTTAGTGTGTTATGAATTTTAAGTTATTTCTAATATGTAAAAAACTAAATAAAAGTATACAATTTTCGTGTCAATTTCGGGTTCACGGGTCAATTTCGTGTCATGGGTCATTTTCAGGTTGTGTCGTGTCAGCTCGTAAAGTGGTCGCGTCGTGTTCGTGTCGCGGTTTTTAAAAAATTTCGTGTCACGGGTCGTGTTCGGGTTGACTGAAAATTTTAAAAGAATGATCAAAACACGACACGAACACGACACGTGACACGAATTGCCACCCCTACATGAACCGGAAGTTAAAATGTTACGTGGGGTCGCGTAT